CAACAGCACAGTGGGGCCGGAGCCGTGGGACACAACCATCTCTGTCCCCTTGAAAAGGGAAAAAACCCCACAGGTTTCTCTCCTTGATGAGGTGAAAAGGGATCTCAGAATCCTGAGGGACTTCACCTCAAACTCAAGTGTCACTGTCCTCAGGACAGGCACTTCTCTGGGGGAAAGGGGGGAGAACAACCAGCACCCTGTCACTTTGTGACAAAACCATCCTTTGTCCCATTAAAAAGGAAAGAAACCCACAAGTTTCTGTCCTTGATGAGGTGAGAAGGGATCTCAGAATCCCGGGGGACTTCACGTGTCACTGTCCTCAGGGACAGGCACTTCTCTGGGGGAAAGGAGGGAGAACAACCAGCAAAGTGGGGCAGGAGCAATGTAGGAATGTGCCCCCTGTCACTTTGTGACAAAACCATCCTTTGTCCCCTTAAAAAGGGAAGAAACCCCAAAGTTTCTCTCCTCTATTAGGTGAAAAAGGCATCTCACAGGTCTGGAGGAATTCACCTCAAATTTAAGCTTCAGGTGCTTCTCTGGGGGAAAGGAGGAAGAACAACCAGCACAGTGGGGCAGGAGCAATGTAGGAATGTGCCCCCTTATCCTTTGTCCCCTTAAAAAGGAAAGAAACCCACAAGTTTCTCTCCTTGATGAGGTGAAAAGGGATCTCAGAATCCTGGGGGACTTCCCCTCAAACTCACGTGTCACTGTCCTCAGGACAGGCACTTCTCTGGGGGAAAGGAGGGAGAACAACCAGCACAGTGGGGCAGGAGCAATGTAGGAATGTGTCCCCTGTCACCATCCTTTGTCCCCTTAAAAAGGAAAGAAACCCACAAGTTTCTCTCCTTGATTAGGTGAAAAAGGCGCCTCATAGGCCTGGAGGACTTCACCTCAAAGCCATTAGGTTCTTTGTTCTCTTCTTTTTCTAGTAAAATGCCACTTTTGTGAGGTGTTTTACCAGGAGCCTGGAGAAGAGGAGGCTCAGAGGTGCCCTTATTGCTCTCTACACCTTCCTGGAGGGAGCTTGGGGACAGGTGGGTGTCAGTCTCTTCCACCAGTTTTCCTCATTTTCCCCTTTTTTCNAAAAGGAAACCAACATTGTCCCATTTGCTTCTCCTGTGCTTTGCTGCTTTGGAGTGAGGTTGGAGACTGTTTATCCAACAAGTGAATTGTTTTGAGTTAATGACCAATCACAATCCAGCTGTGTCAGACTCTGGAGAGAATCAGGAGTTTTCATCATCATTATTATTTCATCATCATTATCTTGTTAAGACTTCTGTCAGTATCCTTTCTCTATTCCTTAGTACAGTTTTAATATAGCATGACATGATATGATATGATGTGATATATATAATGTGATATAATATCATATGTGATAGAATGTCATATAATATTATATAATATATATGTTGTGATATGATGTGATGTGATATAATATAATGCAATATAATGTAATGTAATGTAACGTTATGTAATGTAATGTAATATAATATAATATAATATAATATAAGTGATATATGATGTGATATAACATAATATGATATAACATAATATAACATTATAATATAATGTGATGTAATGTAATGTAATATAATATAAATGATGTGATATATGATATAACATGATATAATGTAATATCATTTAATATGATATGATATGATATATATAATGCAATGTAATGTAATATGATATGATATAATATGATATGATATATGATGTAATATAATGCAATATAATATGATATAATGTAATATCATGTAATATGATATAATATAATGAAATATAATATAATATCATAAAACAATAAATCAGTCTTTTAAGAACACCGAGTCAGATTCATCATTTCCTCCTGCCAGGGGGGACCCAGAAAACACCCCAGGGTGGTGCCCAGACAATGCCCCACCCCAGGGTGCCCCCGTGGGTGGCACTGCCCGTGTCCCCAGCACTCACCAGCCTGCTCCAGCGCCACCAGCATGGACTGCTCGATGAGATCCCTCTCGATGAAGCTGCGGAACTCCTCGGAGTAGACGGTGAGGTCGGGCAGCTGGAAGGTGCAGATGGGCATCTCCAGCAGGTGCTCGCTGCTGCCGTTGCTGGAGACGTGCGAGCGGGCCAGGGACACGATGCTGGAGCTGGCGTGGGAGATGCCCCGGGACAGGCGCTTCTCTGGGGGACAGGAGGGACAACAACAGCACAGTGGGGCNAGCGCCTTCTTCTCGGCCTCCTTCTGCCTCTGCTCCGCCAGGAACCGCTCCTCAGCGTCCAGGAGGTACCTCTGGATCATCTCCTCCTGGAACTGGTGCCGGGTGCTGGTTTTGAGGTGGCTGGCGAAGATGAACTTGCGCTCGCCCTGCATGGCGGCGCGCAGGATGCTCAGGCTCAGCCGAACGTCGCTGCTGTACTTGGAGGGATCCGAGGGCTTCTCCAGGGCTGCTTTACCCGCACCAGGCTTCTCTGCAGGAGCCGAATCTCCGGGGGAACATTCCTCCTTGCTGTCCTTCCGTGCCTTCAGGGATCCCTTCTTCTTCTTCTCCAGGGTGTCTCCCTGCCCGTTGCTCACGCCGCCCTTGACGCCTTTGCTGTGCATCAGCCCCCCCATGTTCTTTTTTAGTTTGCTGCCCAGAGTCTTCCCGAAGCTTCCCAGCTTGTTGGCTACCGAGTCTGCTCGTTTTTTATCCTTCTCCTTCTCCTTTTCCCTCTCTTTCTTTGGTTTCTCCCTGTCCTTGGCTGCCCTGGCGCCCCCGTTGCTGGCAGAGCTGCTGCACACCGACTCCTTGTCCGACTCGCCCGACTCCGCTGCCGAGCGAGCGTCGTCGCCCGCCGAGGCCGTGGGGGACTCTGGCTGAGCCAGGGGCGCCTGGGGAGGGAGCAGAGACAAAATATCAGAGTCTGGAAACCCCTCAGGTAAAGATTCCCAGGTGGAAGGTGAAGCAAAGGAGGTGGCGTGGCTTGGAACGCTGAGAAAGGCGTGTGCCCAGAGCATCCTGCACACCCCTAAACATCCCCGGGGCACCTTTCCAGCCTGAGACAGTCCAGGACCTTATGATTCTGTTCTGTGATTCTCTGATACCTCCACTTGCAAATCCAGGGAGATTTCAGGGGTAAAAATCCAGGGAGGAGGAGGAGGGTGAGACTTCTCCCAGTCTCGAGGTGGCCACAAACCAACAGCTCCCATTTGTTTGGAGCATGGGGGGTCCCTGAGGGGCTTCTGGGTCATGTGAAACTGAAAATGGACACAGAAGGTTCTGGGGAAAAGGTGCCCACATGCAAAACTGAGTCACTCTGGCAGAATCAGCCGCAATTCCTGTGGGCACAGAGCCCCAGGTGAGGCCCTACAACAGCTTTCCTGCAGAGAGGAGGGGTGAATAATTCATAGGTAAAGAAGATCCCCCTGGTGCCTTTACCTGCATGTCACAAGGCAACGTGATCCATCTGACATTCATGTAGCTGTGCAGCAGGTGCAGTTTGGCTTCCAGTGACAGGGTCACGCTGGCATTGGAGGGGAAAGGCACAGGTCAGAGCCATTTCCCACCTGGAAACATCTCCCCCCATATCGACATCATCCCCTGTGTTGTGTATTGAAATGGGGCTTTTCCAAGGGTACAAAAGGGATAATTGTGAAGTTTTCCTTTCAATGAAAACCCAAAGGGAGAAATCAAATTCCTCAGTGTTGGAATCAAAACGTTTCTACCTCAGCTGTAGGAAGTGCTGGGGCCAAACCATGGTGAGATCTGCCCAAAGCCTCACCCAGACCAGGCATGATCTGGTGGCCGCCACCCTCCCCATTCCAGGGACCCACAGCACAAGGATTTGGTGGCAAATTGAAAAATTTGTGCACATTTTTTGTGCTGCTATCACAGGAGATGCTCCCCTGCTGTTGATGCCTTGAGCTACACCCAGCCCAGAGCTCCAGGGTCTGGACATCATCACTTAGAGGTGGAACAAAGGTTGTGAGATGTCACAGCCCCGCCCAAATCACATCAAAATGAAGGGAAAGCTGAACAGGGCCATTCCCTGGGCACAGCTTTCACCCAGCACCAACCTGGCCAGCTTGACATTGTCACTGTCATCCTTCCCCCACTGCCACTCCTTGCCCGGGTCCACAGCAAAGTGCACGGGGAGCAGTTTGTGCTCAGAGTCCGTCAGGGGGATCACAGCTGCCAGAAACGGGACAGAAACGGCACAGAAATGTCACAGAAATGTCACATTGACAGCCCAGGAGGACAAATATTGCACACCTGGAGCCAGCCCTGAGCACAGCACCCACCTGGAGCATTTCTGTCACCTCTGATGGCAAATCCCAGTGCTGGGATCATGGAATTGTCAGAGCACCTGAACCTCACAGGGAAGAGTTTCTCCACAATTTCCCATCCAACCCTGCCCTGTGCCAGGGGAATCCATTCCCCTTGTCCCAAGTCCCCCTCCAGCTCCTGGAGCCCCTCTGGGCACTGGAAGAGCTCCAAGGCCAGGGCTCTGTTGGTTTTCTGGGCTCACATTGATGGCTCCTGGCCAGCTCTTCCTCCCCAGCACCCCCAAATCTTCCTCCTCCTCCTCAGTTTCTCACCTGAATCCCATCACTCACCTTGATCTTTTGTGTTTTCCTTCTGCTCCATGGAGACCAGGGCAGAAAAATGAGCTTGGTCATAAGCCAGGACCAGAGGGGACCGGTGGCATTTGTTGGCTGGGACTTCCAGGGGCAGATAAATCCCTCCAAAGGGAATTGGGGCAAATGCTGGCAACAATTGAGAGTGGTTAGTTGTGATCACAGGTTCAAGAGTTCAGAGCTGTTTGTGCTGCAGCTGCTCCAGAATGAGCCTTTGCCTCGATGGAGGGCTCACCTGCAATTATCTCTCATCTCAGGGGACATTAAACAAAACCACAACCCAAAATAGATGTTTATTTTACATCAGGAGGATTTCAAATGTGGAATGAATTGGTATTTTCTATAAAAAGCCTTCCTCTTGACTCCCCCACAAGACAAACTTTGCTTACAGAAGGATGGAAATTGATAAACCTTCCCTGACAGGGAACTGAAGGTGATGGTGGAAAATCCAACACCCAGGGAATGGAGGAAAATCCACCAGGAAATGGAATTTCTCATCTCTAGACGTGTGTGTAGAGGTAAAAAAAGAAAAAAACCTCGTGTGGATGCTGTTAAAGCAGCAGAAATTGGGTTGGGAGCCAAACCTGACCTGGCCCCTCACCTGCAGAGGTCAATTTTCCCCCCTGCACCATTCCCAACTCCAGGTGCAGCTTTGACAGCAAAAAGGGCCCAGAAAAGGTGGGAAGGGAAGGTGAGGAGCTCAGAGAGGCTTTGGGAAGAGAGGGAGGTCTCACCTTCACCACCTGAGTCCCTCAGCATCGTGTCTGCCACCACCACGATGGGTCTCTTCAGCACGTGGGCCAGCACAAAGACGTGGAACTCCTCCAGGCTCTCGTACACCGGCTCCTCCGAGCTCTCCACCCTGGGCAAAGCAGAAGCTGAAGGTCATCCCTTGGGCATTCTGCATTCAAACATTGGCTTTGGAACACCAGCAGGAG